GTCCTTAATTACCTTAATATACCTCACATGCACTCCTCTCTTTTCTAGCACCCACCATAAAACTTCCCTCGGCACCCTATCATATACCTTTTCTAAATCTATAAAAACCATATGTAGGTCTATTTTGGCTTCTCTATACCTTTCCATCAGCATCCTAAGAAGAAAAATGGCTTTCGTGGTTGATCTGCCTGGCATGAAGCCAAATTGATTACCTGAGATGGTAGTTGTGGCCCTTAATTTCCTTTCGATAACTCTCTCCAAAAGTTTCTTAGTGTGGCTTATTAACTTTATGCCCCTATAATTATTACAATTCAGCACATCTCATTTATTCTTGAAGATGGGGACAAGAATACTTTTCCTCCATGCATCAGGCATATGCTTCTTCTTTAGTATCTCATTAAAAAGCTTAGTGAGCCACACAATTCCACCATCTCCTAACGCCATCCAAATCTCTATTGGAATATTATCTGGCCCACATGCCTTCCCCTTTTTCATCTTCCGTAGTGCAGTTTTAACTTTCGAGACTCTGATTCCTCTTGTGTACATCACATTAGGTTCCCCTTGTGACCTAAGATTGTCAAACTCTATAGCATGATCATCATTATAAAGCTTCTCAAAGTAACTCCTCTACCTTTCCCTAATGTCTTTATCTCTTGTCAGAACCTGATCCGTATCATCCTTAACACACCTTACTTGATTTAGCTCCTAACACTTCCTTTCTCTTATCTTAGCTAGTTTATATATATCATTCTCTCCTCCTCTAGTCTCAAGTTTTCTATATACATCATCTAAGTAAGTAGAACGAGCCTTACTAACTGCTCGTTTAGCTTTTTCATGAAGAGGATACACAAAAGTAAAAAAAAAAAAAAAAAAAAAATGAAATGGGGAGGTAGAAATCGACGTGTCTTTATTTTTAGTTGCATATATGCATAAAAAACTCTCTTGTTATATATATATTTTTTCATATTTATGTTAGAAATGTATAATACTGATTGAAGATTCTGCTACTTTAATTTGATCAATTAGTATCAACCTGAAGCTTATTTAGAAATAAATGTTTTTAAGTTCTTCATGCTAGTAGTTTTATGTTGTTTTAAAACTAGTTAGCAAGAGTGTGAAACTATCTGTTAGAATACTTTATGACTTTCTTTATTGGATTAATTTGATTGGACATATAATGCCCCTTGTTATGTACAAACCTAGTTAGTACTCTTGTAGAACTATAGTTTCTTGTTGGTAACATCTTTCCTTTTAAATAGGGACAAATAAATTATTGTTATAAATGTAACTCTAATGGGGATGCAATGCTATAACTTGTTTATCGAAGAAGTTTCTACAACTAACGAGCAACTGGTATATAAGTAATTTAGTCAATTATTGTACCACTAAATATCTTCATCTTGATACTTGTTGCATTATTCTTATATAATTAACTTCATTTCTACATCTTCTCTCAATTATTCTATTATCCCATGTTTCAATATTTTTAGGAAAAAAAAAACAGTTATTGCGTAGACGGCATGCTTCAAAATGTGTGGACACGTCGCTCATTTTATTTTTACTTATAAGAAAAAAATACTAAGACACCGTTTATTTTATTAATTCGAGTTTTTAATTTTAATTTTGTTACAGTTAAAAGCTCTCACAAAAAATTACATTTAACTTTTTTTACCACAGTGAAAAACTCTCATATAAAAACACATTTAAATTCAAATTAAAAATTTGAATATACAAATTGAACTAGACCTAAAATGTTTTTTCCTTTTTCTCTCACTAGCATATTGCACTTTTTTTCCTCCATGTAATTTAGGGCCACAAAATTGAAAACGTTATAAAAAAAATAAAAATATGAGGACGATGGTTACAGAAGCACCACAGGTCCACAAGTTAGTATTAGTGGGTTGCAGCTGCAGGTAAATTAAAAATTGCTGTTATTATTTATGAAGAAAATACCCATTATCAATTATCAATTATTTGTCACACAAAAAACAAAAAAATATATAATCAACTAACTGTAGGCCATCTGTAGGCCATTTCGATTGCCCTTAATTACGCGTCAAACTCAATTTCAACATTCAATACCATAAATTGACTATGGCCCACTTGAACTTCGATTCTTAACCGTCCAATATGTGATCCTAAAACCGATTGCTGTGGGGTCATGTTTGATTTCATGTTTAGTAGGGGCCACATGCGGGTACTATTGACCCCACCAAATGTATATTTTAAAATTAGAGGACTCTCCAATTCTTCAATTTTCAACTAGAAATGCATAGTGGGACGGCACATGGTTCTCATGGAGGGCATTTTTTTCCCTGTTGCTATTTCTTAATTTTTAGAGGAGATAATACTTGGTTTTTGTTTGCATCTATAGAAATATACAATAATACAAAGACTTAAGCAAAGAAATAAAGATATAAACTTAAAATATTCACACCAATAAAGATAACATTAATATTTTGAAATGGACAAAAAGAATCAAAATTTCTTTTAACAGCTCCAAAAGGAGTAATTTCCATGTTTTCTTTTTCCTATTTGGCCAAATTAATATTAGAAAACCAGAGGGTTGCATTTTTTTTTTTTTTTGGCTCAAGGACTAGAGAGTTGCATAATATTTAACACACACATGTTTTTAAAGATTTCAATAAAAAAATGTTCACAATTTCAACAGAAAGTGAAAATTGTACAAAGTCGGCATTTGAAAACTCAACAAACAAATACTTTTTTTTTCTCCTTTGAGGTCCCTTGTTATAAAGAAAGAGAAGATAATTACATAAACTTATCTCTTAATTTCAATTTTTTCTTAATTTATTACTGCATTTTAAAACTATAAAGTTTTTTTTTTTAATTTCATCTCTTACTTTTTGACCAAAAAAAGGTAAAAATACGATTTATCCTTAAATAATTTATGTATTTAATAAAAAAAGGTAAAAATACGAAATATCCTTAAATAATTTATGTATTTAAATAAATTTGTATTTTTATTTTAAAAAACTTTTATGATCAGAAAAACTCCTTTTATTCGAAAAAAAACATTATGTGTTGTTTTGATGTGTTTTCGAATATTTAATATACTTTCAGAAAATAGTTAAGTGTATTTTGTCTTTTAATTATATTTTTTGTCTAAAAAATACATGTGGGAAGAAATTGAAATATTTCTCAAATTTAAAATATATCTTTGTAGTTCTAAAAAACAGAAAAATAAATTGAGAAAAATTAACAAAAAATATTTTTTTGTAGTTATCCTTTTATAAAATATTCACACAAAAGGGGGAAAAAAAAGTGTAATTTCAATAATGGTTATGATG